TTTATTGCACTGACGGTCCTTGGTCTTGTTGTTGCCATCAGGGTGCATGGCATGGAAACGTGGTGACTGGATAACAATGAACAAAGCACTGTCCTTGTCTCAAGTGGAGGATATTATGATTGGGCAATCATTTGAAGGTACAAGTTTGAGGCGTGTCGCCCAAAGATTTAAAAAGGTGTACGGTGAGCAGTGGTGAGAAAGAGAGCATTGGTGGGAGAGACGGTAGTGGTGAGAGAGGGAGCAGCGGCGAGAGAGAGACTCGATTTATCGGTGGTCTTCCCTCTTATTCAGCTCCGACAATCTCCTGCCCTTGAATTTCGTTTGTGGCGGATCCGAGTCAATATCGGCAATTCGCCAGTTGTCTCTGGCACCACCTCACTAGGTGTCGACCCGCGTTGTCGACAGGCGGTATTTGGTGTGAAGGGTCGCCGCAGTTGTAACAGGCAGTCCATGGCGTTGACTCGCTTTGTCAACCGGCGGTGCCTGGTGCGATGAGTTCCGCAGGTGTAGCAGCCTCTGTCCAGGTGTTGTGTCGGTGGGTGTGAGGTGTGGTCTTGTTCAAGGATGGAGAGAAGGAAGGCCATGGTTTTAAGTCAAAGAATCTGGTAGTGCACAGTGAGCACTAGTTTGTGTGAAGTGCAGCCAATGGTAGTGAGACTGAGAGAGGTGCAGAGGAGGACAACGACTCACTTTGTTGATGGGTGTTGAACCTTTGCTGACTGAAAGGAAAGCAATACCACAATGTGTTGACATTGACTCCGCAGAGTCATCCTGACGCGTTGTGAGCGTCAACACTATGCAGGTCATACTTTCATGGACTTACTCAGCTCCTGTGCCAATGGATTCTGGTGGATGAAACTCTGGCGACATCCGGGACATGCCGTGCATTGAGAAATTCGTTCATGTGAGTGGTGCTGTCTGTATAATGACATGATGCATCAGGAGAGACAGATGCAGGGATTGTAGTCGAGGAAGACAATGCACAGGGATGCAGCTGAGCGATACAGGGAGAGGTCCAGTCTTGTTCAATGACAAGATGCATCCAGAGGGAGATGTACACAAAGAGGAAAGATACATAAAGGGAGGCCGAATTTGCAGAGAGATATGCAGCAGGGGACGGGAGAGACTTGCCTTGTTGACAAACAACCTGGAAGAAACATTGTAGCTGCAGTCACGACAACAAACACTGACGTATATATCGCGCTGTGCAAATGAGCTTCTTGTGCAGGTGGTGGATCCGCGGGTCAAAGATTCTCCGGCCCCGACTTCACGTGCGGGGAACGGCACATTCGGAGATATGCGGGGTTAACCGGAGCTACCCGGAGTTACTTGGAGCTGCTCCGGGTTAACTCCGGAACCATGCGCGGGGACATGCGGGTCCACCTCTGTCAGACAGAAACGCGACATGAATTCAAGTGAAGTCGTGTCACAGTGACGTTCTTTGTGTAACCTTGTTCAACGTCGTCGCTGTGAGAAAGTTGCCGACACAGAATCACAGAGACGGACACGCAGACACGCAGATGCAGAGCTTGAGAAAGAGACAGACAAAGAGACACTGGCGCAGAGACGCGTCAGAGGGTCAGGAGTTCACGTCAAGATATGCAGACATACAGACATTGTCTTTGACTCTTGCAACTTTCTTCAGTGTCGTCATCATGGTAGATACGCGAATGCAGATGCGCGAATGCAGATACGCGAATGCAGACGTAGAAACACAGACACGGAGATACAGATGCGGAGACATGAGAGACACAGACACAGACACAGACACAGACACAGACACAGACACAGACACAGACGCAGGCAAAAAAGCAAGCAAAGAGACTAGCAATACAGGTGCAGAGAGGCCGGGAGACAGAGGCAGAGAGACATGGTTGCAGAATGACATCAAGAGTTGACGAGTTGGAGAGTTCAGGATTTCAGGGAAAGACGTACCGATGTGACATGTAGCGTGTCTGTATGTGCGACGTCCTTCAACGTGGTCCTGATTTTGTGACTTCCTGCATCGTCGTCGTCGTCGTGACAAGATTGTAGATACACAGACGCGTCAGGGGCCCAAGTAAAGAGTTGTAGATATGATGTTATCATGACTTGGCAATTTCTTCAGCATCGTCGCCATGAGAAACCTGCCGATTCAGAGGCAGTCGTCTCCTTTCTGCCGTCTTCGGCAAAAACACATGAAGAGGCGTGGACTCGAGTGCATGGTCTTGACTTTGTGACTGCCTTCGCTCTCGTCGCTGTGAGGATTTTCAGATCCGGGGACGCATCAGGAGCGCGCGTGGTGGTATGTGGGCTTGGGTATGGCTGTCCTGGCTTTCCGGCTTCCTTCCGATGGCGGTGTTAGGGCGTCCTGGGGTCAGCAATATCCACGACATTGTCGTCGTGAGAAAGCTGTAGACACCGCTTGCCTCATCGCTTTTGCAGAGGACGGGAACACTTGAAGAAGTGAAGATATGATGTATTACCCTTCTTTGAAACTTCTTCCAATCTCGTTGTGGTGGAGGGTCGACAGATGCAGAGGCGCGTAGAGGCGCGTCAGTCATGCACACGAAGGGGTGGAGATATGAGTCCATTGTTTTGGTTTCCGCGACATCCTCTAACATCATGGTCGTGAAAAGATGCAGATACAGCGGCACTTACCTCCCTTCTGCTGTAGTGTGCCATTATCTTTTCTGCCGGACTCTAAGGCGATCAGGATATGATTTAAGGCCACATACACGCGTAGAGTCGTGACCCGAATTGTCTCGACTTGGCGACTTTCTTCGTCATTGTCTGCTTGTACATTATCGTCGTGAAAAGTTGTAGATACAGAGACAGCTCTCTCCTTTACGCAGAACGGGAACACGGTAGGTCTCTTGACTGTGAAATTGCCTGTATCATCACCATGAGAAAGCTGTACAGTCGATACAGCGGCAGTTGCCTCCTTCGTTGGAGATTAAGCCCGTGTTTTCTGCAGAGTCCTTGACTCTCGGGCAACAAGGACACGTTTAAATCCCAGGCCAAGGTGTGCATCCATGACGTACAATGCCTTGACCTTGCAACCATTGTTTCCTTGGCCATTCTTATCCAGATGCAAAGGCAATTGCCTCGTCGTCGGTAGAATATTCTGCCTTTTTCAACAAAGTGCTCTTCTTTTTGTGCAGAGTACTCTCCGTTTTCTGTTGGGTGCCTCATTCTCTACGCGGCGACAGGGGCGCGTCAGCGGTTCAGGCGGCGGAGCTTAGTGATGGCCTGCATTACTTTGACTGCTTCAACTGCCTTCATTATTGTTCTCGTGGGGGAGTTGCAGGTACTGAGGCATTTACCACTTTTTTCCTGCAGCGATCATTTCCCTTTATTGCGGAATACGCGCTCTTTGTTGCAGAGTATTCTCCTTTTTCCCGCATAGGGCTCTCCTTTCTTCTGCAAAGTATTTTTCTACGTGGCAACAAGACACGCCATGGGAATGCCTGAAGACGTACAGATATGACGTGTCATCTTGGCTGTATCTTCCTTTATTATCGTCGTCGAGAAAAGTTACAGATACAGAGGCTGTTGACTCCTTTTACTGTCGGGTATTCTCCTTTTTTCTGCCGATCACACTCTATTCTTCTGTACAATATTCTCCTTTTTCTCCCCAGTACTCTCCTCTTTCGACTCCACACACTCTTCTTGGACTCCAAGCTCTCTCCTTTCTACTCCGTACTACCCTTTTGCTGCAGATTTCCCTTCTTTTATTATATGGTATACCCCCTTTTCCGCAAAGTCCTCTTCCTGTCTCTACAGATTATTATCTTCTTTTCTCTGGAGGTTTCCCTTTATTGTTCTGCACAAGCCTCTCCTTTTTCCACATCGTTTTGCTACAGACTCTTCTACTTTTGCCTGCCGAGGTCTCTTCGTCTGCAGATTATTCCCTTTTGTCTGCAGAGTACTCGAGAGTTTCTTTTGTCTGCTCCTCCATTGTCTACATGGTATTCTTCTGCTTTCTGCAGGGGAGCCATGTCTTTGCTACAGCTGAATGTCCTATTTTCTGTAGAGTATTCTCCCTTTTCCTACTCGGTACTATCCCTTTTCTACAGAGTACTCTTCCTTTTGCTGCAGAATACTGTCCCTTTTCCTACAGAATACTCTTCTTTTCTGCAGACATGGCACTCTACGCGACAAGACCCGTCACGGACTCACCCGATGAGACCCCGGGTAGACATGACGGATACTGCCTTGGCTTTGAACCAAGTTGTGAGGAAGGTGTAGGTATCGAGGTAGTCGCCTCCCACTTTTCTCTGCCCGCTTCTCGATCAAATGGTCTCTTCTCTGGTTTCCTTCTTCCTCTTCTCTCTCCGAGAGACGCTTCGGATTCCTTCTGGTTTTTTAGTTTCCTTCCCCTTTGCGTGTGCTTCTGAGAAGTTCTCCTTTTCTCTCTCTCGCACTCAATCCGCAAAGTCAACAAGACAGAAACTGCCCGACTGCCCCCTGAATCACCACGACCGCTCACTCTATCAAGCTCTCATCATTCTACTTCTCTTTGCACGTCTTTCCACTCACCAGGCCGTAAGTACTGCTCCTCGCGCACCTCTTCTTAGTCTAACCTCCATTTTAGGACTCTCCAACGCCCTACTCTAGCTTCTCGACCAGCGGTTCTTCTACTGTTCTGATCCCTCGACCGACACTTCTTGCACTTCTTGCACTGTTCTGACCTCTCGACCTGCGTCTTGCACTATTCTGACCCCTGGACCGATACTTCTTACACTGCTCTGAACCCTCGACCGGCAATCCTTACACTGTTCTGACCTCTCGACTGGCGATTCTTGCACTACTCTAGTCTCTGGACCTGAAATTCTTGTACTATTCTGACCCCTGGACCGATACTTCTTCTACTGTTCTGACCTATCGACCTGCGATTCTTACACTATTCTGGCCTCTCGACCGTCGATTCTTACACTGCTCTGACCCCTAGACCGACACTTCTTCTACTGCTCGAGTCTCTCGACCTGCAATTCTTGCACATTTCCACAACAGTCACAATGGATTCTGTTGTTCTCCAGAACATGTCTTCTTCCCACACCATGTATCCAGTGTCGCGCGAAACCAACCCAGCTCCGATCATGGAGCCATCCACTCTCAGCACACTATACAGAACCCACCACTTGAGACGATCTAGTATGCTAGAACAGCCACAGCCGAATCAACGACTCAATGGCAAAATCTGCGCTGTACGAGGGGAGATATCACAGCTTCGTGTCGATGCGATTGTTACCCCCGCCAACACGGAACTGTCTCGAAGTGATGTCGCCGATAGCGTCGATGGGGCCCTGCATCGGGCTGCAGGGCCGAATCTCCTCAGGGATTGCCGAGCTCTCGGCGGCTGCCCAGTTGGGGCAGCGAGAGCCACGGGCGGCCACAATTTACGAGCCAGAATGGTGATACACGCGGTTTCGCCGGTCCATGACGGCACACTGCAATGTCGCCAGCAACTTAGGTCTGCATATCTTTGCTCCCTACAGCTAGCAGTTCAACATGGCTGTCGCTCTGTCGCTCTGTCTTCCATTTCGGCCGGCATATACGGCTTTCCAAGCAGAGAGGCGGCATTTATTGCCGTAAGGATAGTGCGACGCTTCCTACTCGGACCTAGTGGTCATCTGCTTGACCGCGTGATCTTCGTGGCCAGCACGAGGCACGAGGCAGAAGTTTATGCGAGATGCCTTCCGTACGTGTCTCCTTACCATCCCTCTCGTTGCTACACTATGCTAACTTTATGTCTGATCTAGTCGACACTTTCCTCCGACAGCGGCGGACCTGGGCTTCACCGGGCCGGCACCCCCCCCGACCATCCCCCCATTTAGCTTTCGTAATTCTGGCCCCTATGGGCAGATTTACCATCATCCGGCGGTCGACAACACCCAAGGGCCACCAAGCGAGGGCAGCGGCCCGGGTGGGGCGACCGTGGCTAATGTAAGGGAGACCAGCCTCCTGGAGGATGTTAGGGCAACCCTTCAACAATGGTTCGGCTGCTTCCCAGGGAGTTAGCATCACGCATTCGGTCGTTGGCACTACGAAAGAGGGCAATGGTGCTGCGGTGGAACCGGTCCTGTCGCTTTGTCTTCTACTTTTATCATGTTGTATGGTGAGCTTTGCGTGCTGGTGGTATTTGTGTTTGTGTGCAAACCTCAGTTCCTGTCAGAGTGGACTTCTCCCTTCGTTTGGTTGTATTACTGGTGTTACCGCTCGCGGAATGCGACTTTTGTATGATTTAGCTGAGGAATGACTCAGTGCTGATGATTGAGAACTGGTACATGATACATGGTGGTCCGATGACTAGTATATACTCCCTAATATCTCATGGTCCGATGGGTTGTTGGTGGTATTCTAGCTGCCAAACCTTAATTCTGGCCGAGTGTACTCGCATAGTGTGAGTCTGTCTGTCTCCCCCGTGACTGATATCTCATACCCAACACATAATACAATATTCTCGTGGCTAATACCTACTACCTGAATGCTCACGGCCCAGTACTCGATGGTGGTGCTGGTGGAGTGAGTGAGTCGTGTCAAACCTTAATGGTTCGGGGGATGCTGTGGCTGCCTCGCCCACCCTCAGAGACCCCCAGAACCCTCACAGAAATGGTTTGGCAGTGCTACTGACCTAGCCCAACACATAATCAACTAGTCAGATGCGCGATTCGTGTCAAAATCCCCCCAAAAGCATGGATTGTGCCCAAATGTCAAAGAAAACTCTAAAATTTTCCAACCCTGTGGAAAAGTTTTCAATCGGCCCCAAGCTTGTTTTGCCTGCCTCTGGAGATGTTTTGGGGTTGGTACATGCAATCCGTTCAATCCTTGCCTCTGGGACGTGGTCCAATGCTCCTGCGTGTGGTTTTCGTCAACCTCGACCTTGTTCACCCTCGAAGGGGGGGGGGAGGGGGGGTTTCCGCCAAAATACAAGAAAAAACTTTTTGGGGTTTTTTTCGGGTAAATCACAACGAAAGAATTTTTTTAGGAGTTTTTTTCTAGCTAAACTACAACGAAAAAAATTTTTGGAGCCCTTTTTTCGGCTAAATTATAACGAAAGAATTTCTCAGAGGCTTTTTCTCGACTAAACTACAACGAAAAATTTTTTTAGGCCTTTTTTTCGACTAAAATATAACTAAAAATTTTTTAACGAGTTTTCTTTTAGCTAAACTATAACTAAAATTTTCTTAGGGAACTTTCTTTAGTTATATTATAACGAAAAAGATTCTTAAGGGTTTTTTTTTTAGCTATATCTTGGAAGTTATCAGATTTAGGGGCGGAACGAGACGGGTCGGTCGCTCGAGATTAGAAGACTACTCCAGCCAGGGGTGTGGCGCTGCTCAATCGAGGAGTGAAGATCTTGGAATTTCCTCCTAATTCGCTAGATCTCAACCCCATTGTCACGAACCACCAAGCACACCACACACATGACAACGCCCTTATTATTTGAGCACCGCATGCTCACCGCCTGAGGGAAGCTTCATGCATTGAGTCTTAGTTAAGATATACTATTAAGGAATACCTATACCTACCTGTTACCTATCGCTGCCCTCTGCCTATCTACATAGGCCGTTCCTGACACCCATAGAGTACCTCTGGAAGATCATGAAAGACTGGATTGATATGCACTACCTAAATAACTACAAGGCTTCTGACGATCGACTCAGGCAGCACGTTCAAGAGGCCTTGGAGGCTACAGGTGAAGACACCCTTGAAGGCATTACAGATACAATTCCCTGACCCGCGGAAAGCCCTCGTCGATATTGTACCGAGCTGGTCTTGACACACGAAACGCCTGTACGAACTCATGGAGAATTGGTCCGTGGTCGGGGAACCAACACGCGTGGATCGCTTGGGGCCGTCTCACTCCATTGGTGATGAATGAGACGGCGCTTGGCTCTGGGCCTTGGGAAACCAGATGGTGTTGGTCGAGATTCATTCATATATACCGCGGCCATCCACGCCGCTGGTAATGAGAGCAGGTCCTCAAGACGGCCAAGGCCCTCGCCGCAGCTCCATCTGCGTCCCCATCTACGAGGGCACTTTATCTTCTTTCCTTCCGTTGGGCTTGTTGATATGGCCTGTCAATGTTGAGGGCGTCGACTCGTACAATGCTGGTAAGTTCTGGCGCTACCGAGTACGAGCGGCAGATGCAGCATCACTGGGGCACCGGTCCGCCTTCTTCTTGGACAATGTCGCTCGTACGCCACCTGATGACTCGTCCTGGGGGTCCAAACAAGCCAGAGCCGATTCGCTCCTTGAAGTTGAAGCATTTGAGCGCCCTTGAGATCTCTGTCTACAACATAGACTGTGATTCTGTTTGGCTGCGCCCGCCCCCATCACCAAAGTTACGTAAAGCTTCCTATTTACGAGACCCCTTGGTGGTCTTTTCGCATGAGCTAGGAGGAAATTTCAATGCCTACAGCGCAGTCCTGGTGAATTTTGCCAACTACAAATTCTTGACAAGTAACAAAGTTTGTTTGTGTCAAGTGCTCAGCACCAGCCTCATAAATCTGAGTCAAGACTTTCAGGCAAGATGACCATTCACATCGGCCCCCCTTGCAGACATCGAGTAATGTCTTGGCTCGACTTTGTGGATGCTGTCACGCTGCCCGGAATATGGATCGGAAGGATCGGGGAGGCGAATAGCCAATCAAAAGTCCCCGATAAATTTTGTCGGGGACCTCTAATTGGCTGGACTTGTTAACACGCAAAAGATGACGGCCATACGTTGGCAATTCTTCGGCATTTATTGGACACCGCCTCATTGCTCTCTGTGGGTTGACCTGGAATGTGGTATGTTAACCTGGAATGTGATATATTGACCTGGAATGTGATATGTTGACCTGGAATGTGGTATATGGACCTAGAATGTGGTATGTTGACCTAGAATGTGGTATGTTGACCTAGAATGTAGTATGTTGACCTGGCTTCCAGATACCCCGCGGCGGATCGAGTTCGTTGACGCCTCCTTCTTGCCCAAGGCGGCGGTGTCGATGGTGGTGTTGGTGGTTGCCGGCGAGTTGGCGGTGCTGTCCTGCAAGCACCGAGAATGACTCGACCCCACCAAGCCATGTGGCTATGTTTACGGTCCTACAGAATCCTACGCTGATATTGGTGGATTGGAATCCCAAACACAAGAGGTCCGCCGAACTGACCGACATAATTGTCCCCGGTGGTCTGGGGCTTGGTGCGGCAGAGCCCGCAAAGGGTGGCGCGCAGCTCCTCCTTGAAGCCGAGGCCAAAAGTCCACGGCACTCACGAGGGAAACAGCCTGTCCCTTTGGTCCCCTTACTTGACCCCCGGCCGCTGGCCAGAATCGCTCCACCGATGCCCCTCCCCAGAACGGCGCACGGGCAAGGAGCAGTGCCTCCTTGATATTGATAAAGACGTCATTTCCTCCCACAAAAATTATACAGATAAACAGATACGTCCAACGAAATTCGAGTCAACCCTCGTCATTCCTCGAGGAAGCGAGTCCGCTCCATGCGTCGTTGGTGTGAATCGTTCCAGCCCTACAGCGAGCTTTCCCCTTTTACCTTTCTCGACAAACACGCCTCCATACACCCGGCGGGAGCGGCAGCGTCTGTCTTTTCTGCTTGCATTGCACCAAGTCAGTAACTTCTACGACGCGATCCTGAGGCCTTTTTTGCCAGTGACAGCTATTTCACGGTATATACAGTCCTGGAGGGCATATGCAGGGAGAATGAGTCGTGATGAGTGAGTGAGTGAGTGAGTGAGTGAGTGAGTGAGTGAGTGAGTGAGTGAGTGAGTGAGTGAGTGAGTGAGTGAGTGAGTGAGTGAGTGAGTGGGTTACTGACGGTGACGGTGATAGCGACGCCAAAAACCTTTCGTTTGGACCCCACGAACTCGACCTGCATCTGGACCTGCATCTGGACCTGCACCAAACGACGCGTCTCTTCCCTCGACACATGCGAACAGCATGACAGGATCAATCACGCGTCAGCGTCTTGATCTGGATTCTTTGTATCTCCATCCCTGGCCCTGTTGCCACCTTTACCTCTTCGTCCATGTCCCTTCGTCATGACGGCTGACGGCGAACCCCCATTTGTGTTGTCCTACCAAGATACTCAAGTTTCATCTCAACTAACCAACTTCACAGCGAATGCCGACTGTGCCCACCGTGAGGCTCATTAACCGTCATGTCGAAGTTGCCGAGTCTGAATCCAATGCGACCCACAATCCCGTCGTACCATTGGACGTCGTCAATGTTCTTGATTGCGACGACAATATGGGTAATCAGGTCAAAGAAGAAGCCCGTGTGGTTGTTTACAAGCTGGGATCTTGATATTCGAGTAGCAGCCGGCGTCGAAGTACGACCCTATTCATCCGACTGGTACCTGCAGGGTACGTCCAAGTCAAACAACGGCTGGATCGTCACAGGGACCTCTTGTGGAGATTTGAGATTACTTGGGCGCGGGAAGACTTTTTGCATACGACCCGAGGCGAGAGGTTCAACTGGTTGGTGGCAAGACGAGGCAGACCACGACGATTTGTTCCACTAACGCATCAGAAGGTCTTGTCTGGTCATTTCCACCGATGTTGGCCCATCACACCGTTACAGGCTGTGCTATGAAGCCAGGGGACTTGCTCGGTCATGTTCATATCCCTTTTTCATCTTCCCCTTCATCTTCCCCCTTCCCGGTCCCTCGTCCATGTTCATGGCCCTTCTTCATGTCGATGGCCCTTCTTCATGTCGATGGCCCTTCGTCATGTCGATGGCCCTTCGTCATGTCCCTACTTCATGTTCATGTTCCTTTTGCATGTCGCCGTTGCCTTTTGCATGTTATACTCTGTATCCTCATCTATATTCCTACATATTCGGTGGCCTTCAAGGCGGCTTGGCAACCCACTACTTCTTCCATGTTGCTCCTCTCATGTTGCCATAATGTTCATGTTTATGTCCCTTTTATATGTTACATTTTGCATATTCCTCCATGTCCCCCCACATTCGTCCTCCTCATGTCGCTTTTCTTCTCTGGCAAGATAGGTGAGACTGTGCTGAATGCAACAGCAGGTACACCGGGGTCTCAAACAGTCGCGGGATTCCAACCAAATCCCTGCTCATTTGACCTGCTCAATGTGGCCATTGACACGAACATCGGGATCCCCATCCTGATCGGCATACTCAAGACTTTGACGATCGGTCTACGGTATACACCTCTGGCGAATCCTCCCGAATCGTCTTCAAGGCGGCTTTGCAACATACTGCTCTTCCACGTTGCTTCTTCCACGTATTCATGTTCATGTTCCGAGGAATACAATGTGACCTCGGTGCCATACCTGGTCATTCAGCGAGATGGAAAGACGCTGGAGACGGTGAGTGGAGCGACGCGGGCAAACTAAGAGCAGCGGTGGAGAGACACGCTGGCACTAGCTCTAACGCCGCCAATGTCAACGGTAACGGCAGTGCGTCGGTGCCTCCGCCGCTGAAGGCTGAGCCGCAGAGCCATGCGCATACGAACTGAAGTTGAGAGCAGCCGACGTCGACAAACGTCTCGGGCTCTTACATATCCAAGCCTTCAGACTCGCAGGCCGCGTCGGGGCCGAGGCCATCGAGGAGTTGAATGAGCGGTTGGCAAAGTTGATCAAGGCTGCGTAAGTTCCATCATAAGCATTTTGGATCCCTTTTGTATGCTGCCTTTTACAAGTTCCCTTTGCATATCCCCCCCTGTTTGTTCGTCTTCGAGGCAGCTTTTGCACCATCTTCTCTTCTGTTGCTTTTTCCATATTGCCTTCCTTCATGTTCTTGTTCATGTTCCTTTTGCAGATTCTTCCATATTGCGTCCCCCATGTTCTTGTTCATGTTCCTCTTGCCCATTCCCCTATATTCGCTCGTCTTCAAGGCGGGCTTTACACCATCTACTTCCTTAATCTTCTCGTTTGTTTCCTCCTTCGTGTTGCCTCTTCCATGTTACCGTCTGTTTATTCCTCCATTTTATTCCTTTTCGAGACGCTCTTTGCCTGTTCCTCTTGCATCGGGTTGTGTACACCACTACCACTGGATACGCCTGCCGCCACCAATGAATCCTGCCATTCTCTGCAAAATCGTCAACTTTTCACTTACACTTACACTTCCTGCCCCTCTCCAATGTACCCTTTCATTCTCTGTCAAGTCGTCAACCACCACTTCTGCGTGTCAACTTTTGACTTTGACTTCAACTTTGATTTTGACTTTAACTTTGACTTTTCACTTCTCACTTCCAATGTGAGGATGAATCACATGTATATTTCTTTTTGCACGTTCCATGTGGAATCTTTCTCCATCTTCCTCCATCTTGAGGGTCCCTTTTGCATGTTCCTTCTTCTATATTGTCTTTTATATGTTCGTCTTCTCTATTCCTCTTCCATGTTGCCTTCTACACATTCCTCCTTTTTGTTCCTTTTCCAGGAGATGTTTGCCTGTTCCTCTTGTATGTTCCCCTTTCAGTTGTGTTCCTTTTTGCATATTCGACGTGGAATCTTCCTCCACGTTCCTCCATCTTCAACGTCCCTTTTGTATGTCACTTTTTCCACCTTGCCTGTTCACATTCGTCTTTCGCGTTTTGCTTCAAGGCTGCCGTTCCATAGTCTTCTTCCATACTGCCTTTTGAATATTGCGTTCTCCATGTTCCTCTTGTGTATTCTTTCTGTATGCTCCTCTGATATGTCTCGCCTTCAGGCGGCCATTGCGTGTTTCTCTTGCATGTTCCTCTTGCATGTTCCCTTTTCAGTTGTATATTGCTTTTGTATGTTCCGTGTGGAATGTCCTCTATGTTCCTCGCTCTTCAAACCGCTTTTGCAGGGCACTTCTTCGACATTGTCTTTCGTATGTTCGCCTTCCAAGCGGCTCCTTCATCCAGGCGGCTTCTTCGTCCAGGTGGCCGTTACATGTCCTTCTTCCATGTTGCCTCTTGATTATTGCGTTCCATATGCTCCTCTTGCCCGTTTCCCCTTTTTGTTCCATTTGCACGTTCGTCTTTCAATTTCATGTTACTTTTTGCATGTTCCGTCTGGAATATTCTTCTTTCATGTTTCCCCTTCAAGGCGCCTTTTGTATGTTACCCTTTGCCTCTTCCTCTCGAGTGTTCATCCTGTATATTCCTTTTTCAATTGCATGTTCCCCTTTCGACTGGATGCCATTTCGATTGGATGCCATTTCGATTGGATGCCATTTCGATTGGATGCCATTTCGATTGGATGCCATTTCGATTGGATGCCATTTCGATTGGATGCCATTTCGATTGAGTGTTCCGCTTGCATGTTCCTCTTCATGGCGACCATTTCCATTCGTCTTCTTCTTCATGGTGCCTCTTGCAGGTTACCTACTGCGCGTCTTTTTGGTTCATCTCACCCTCATCGGCATCTCCTGCGTCAGCGTCTTCTTCTGCGTCGGTGTCTTCCTCGTCATCCTTCTCTACTGGCTCAAAGACCCTTCCAGCTTCAAACCCTTTGCGGCTGGGGCTGGAGAGCCACTAACGGGGGGAAGAATGATCGAACTCCAGCAGGTCAGTCGTACAGTCGCCTTTCCATGTCGCCTTTTGTATTGCATTTTACATATTCTTCTCGCATGATCCTATTATATGTTCTTCTTGTATATCTCCTTGAGCGTTCCACTTGAATGTTTCTCTTCAGTATTGCTTTTGTATGTTCCTCCGTCATTCCTCTATCATCTTCCATCTGCAGATTTCTCTTCACGGCGCTGTTCTTCTTCATGGCGCTGTTCACCTTGTGACGTGGCTGCTAGGACCAGGAGAGGAGGGGAACTTGAAGACGTGGTGAACGACAGTGTCAGGATGATCGATTCAAGAGAAGTATGTCCGAAACCTGCCGTACGTGCCCAAGACCACATTCCAAAGGCTGTTCCCCCAGGCGGAATTACACTTTGCAGTGCCCTGGTAGGTTGAGGCCGACACGAAATGCCTTGCTCGCGGACGACGGAATTGGAGCGAGCACAAGTACCTATCGTGCAACGTAAGTCGACTCTCCTAGAGTGACAAACACAGGTATCTGACACGAGTTTGATCATGGCGTTTCTTCTCCTGTCAACCACATGAGCGTCTCTGGAGTCAAGGCGGTCTTCACCTTCAAGGTAGCGTTCACCTTGAAGGCGGCGGTTACCTTTGAGGTGGCGTTCATCTTCAAGGCGGCGGTTACCTTTGAGGTAGCGTTCATCTTCAAGACGGCGTTCACCTCCAAGACGTTGTTCACCTTCAAGACGGTATTCATCTTCAAGGCGGTGTTCATTCTTACGGCGCTGGTCATCTTCAAGGCCATATTCATCTGTACCGCGCTTTCTACAGGCTCCTCTTGTATGTTCTTCTTCAAGGTGGGCTTTACATGTTCTGCTTGCATATTCCTCTTCCTAGTCCATATGTATATTCCGTTTTCGTATTGCTTGGTCCCTGCTGTTGCACTAGATCTTGGAGGCTGATGCAAAGACAATGGGACGAACAGATCTTGCAAACTACGCTCGATACGACGAATGTTTTTCGGCTCTTACTCGACAGCAACAACTTCGTTGGTCCCGTCTGGCCTGGTGACGGAATCTACGTCGCCATTATCTGCTTCGCTCGCTTTGTTTTGCCATCATGGAAAGCTCTACGGGCGTTGCGGCGATGGAATTTGGTGGGACACATCCATTTCTATGGGACAACATGCCGAAGTCGCCTGCTACAGGTCCAAAGATATCCGCCAGCCGGCCGCAAAGCACTTGAAAGGCGCATTGGGCCCGAAGGCATGATGTACAGCGACGATCTGATAGGACTCGTGTTGCCTAGATCATGTTCTGAAGCAACCGAGAGACTAAGCAACCGAGAGACTAAGCAACCGATAGACTAAGCAACCGAGAAACTAAGTGAGAGAGACTAAGCGAGAGCAACTAAGCGAGCAAGCAAGGAAGTAAGCAAAACCCTCCTGAGCCACTACCGCCGTCGTCGCGCAATTTAATGTCTTTTCCGGCGATTACCATCCTTCGCTTCAGCCGACCATTCTGAGCGTCCCGAATCTCGACCACGTCATCTTCAACGAAGATACTCAAAAGGCAGCCAGGCGTCTGGCCTCCTGATCTCCCACGAAACCTTGAGTAACGCCAGAGAGCCCACTAGCAAAGTTAACGGTGCCATTCAGATGACCAAGAGAGCGACTGATCGAGATGCCGAAGCACTTTTACCTTGTTTCTTTACGTTCTTCTTCAAGCCGCCTGTTGTATCTTCATCTTGCATACGCCATGCGGAATGTTCTCCTCTCGAGTTCTTACAACCCTGGGGAGCTGCATGGGGATGGCGACATGGCGGTGCTGGTGACATGCGGTGCAGGATGCAAAAACTCTATCTGCTCGTATGTAGAGACACCCAACTGACCTACATGGTACATGTGCTTATGTCATCAGATCGCTAGCTGTGTCTTTGGGTACTAGCAGTGGTTTGGTCCAGAGAGTACGGCAGGGAGAAATGGAGCGGATGTGGATACCAAAGGCACTTGGGGCGCGCTGCGGAGGATGATCCATCCCACCCTCCAACAACGACTCGGTACCATTGTCGTGTATCTCGATCCTACACCCCTGAAAGATGGTTGGAGTATATGGTGGGACGCACGTTTTCTAGAAGTGGGGGGGTGGGGGGGGGGAATGCTAGCTAGATTGGGTTGTTTAGGTATGTCCCCGTCATTGTGCAGGTGGAATTTTACATGTTCCTCCACGTCCCCATTCCAGGAGCCTTCTACATGTTCCTTTTTGACTTCCTTTTGTAATTTTGCCTCCTGTATCTTTTTCTTGTATGTTGGCCCATCCTTCATGTTCCTCTTTCTGTTGACTTTGACATGTTCCATGTGGAGTTCAAGGCACTTTTGCATGTTTCCCTTGAGGGTTTCTGTTGAAAACCGGCATCCGGAGAAAGTTCCCAGTCATCCAGAAGCGTGCGTCGGCACCGGCTGCTACGTCCCCAACCAGGATATCTAATCCCGTCCCATACGGCGGCAGCCACCCTATTACGGGCGTGCAGATCCCCTACGACAAGGCGTTGCAGCTACTCCACGATCATAACCCGATCACGATTCACGAAATCGTGACTACATCGACCGAGCAGCCTGCATGTTCCTCCATTTTCTGGCATATTCATCTGCTTCTGGTATATTCTCCTGCTTCTCGTATGTTCTTCGACGTCTTGCATGTTCCCTTACTTCTAGCATGCTCTTCTACTTGATGCATATTCTTCTTGCGCATTACGGAGGCCAAGAAGCGCTAGATTATAGGCTTGTCTTGCTGGGTGAGGTCGGTGCGCCTGCCGCTGGTAGGCGGTAGGGCTTTGGGGACGAAAACCCCAGGCCTATGCGTTTAGCAGGACGAACGTGAGACACCCCGGGACCAGGCCTACACCTATGCGTCCGCTACGATCTGGCCACGAACTTGGGCCTACTCGGCAACGCTGGTCAATTTCCAGCATCTTACTTTTCGTTTGTTACTTTGGTCGATTCGTCTTTCATGTTCTTCTGCACCTGATATGCCCCTCTGCGTCTTTTATATTCCTCTTTCAGATTCAATGTTTTTCTGTTTTTTCCACTATTTGTATGTTACTTTTACCATGTCTTGCATGTTCCACCCCTCGTCGAGAGTCAAATTTCATCTTCATCCGTCCTGATTCATGTCATCTCCGCTGCTCATATCCTCTACATTAGCCGCTCCCTCTGCATTGCTCGGCTCGTCTGCATTGCGCATATCCTGCCGACTGCCGGCTATCCCTCGACTGCCGGTTTCCACTTGAATACTCATTTCCTCGGCATTTCTTGTTTCCATTAACTATCTGTTGTCTGTCATCACTCATATCCTTAGCTCCATGCACCACTTCACCAATACGTTGGGCGCATACATACCCATATCCTGCTCGTCTCTCCTGTTCGTCTCTCCAGTGCCATATTCGATGTCTGTCCGCCTTCTGTCGGTCCGCCTGCTTTCCACCTACACCCTCTGTCCGCAGTCGCATTCACAGGATATCTCTGACATGGCTTCCTCACAGGCGAACGACCGACTCTGTCCCATCCTACTAAGATATTCAACTACGATCGACACTATATCGAAGCGTCTCGGCTTCTTCCACCCAGACCTGAGCTACAATCAATGGTTCCGAAAGCCTGCTTGTTGATATCGCGGTCGATCACTCTGCAAGAATAGGAAGGAGTAGGCAAACAGCCAGACTGCTGGGGGAAAGATGGTGCCGAAAAGAATGATTGTCGATACACAGTCGGTGTGCAAGAGTTGTGACAGGGAAACAAAGTTCACGGTCCTCACAACCTTTGCCTCACTCTATGACAATCTTCGTGTCCATCATGCGCCGATTCATGCTCCATACTCTCTAAATTCTCTGTCCGTGGCTTCTCTCACATAAGAGCGAATCCACTGACACTATCCTCCTGTCCTGCCCCCATCGAAGCGAAGCCCATTGTCTTCTTCAATCCAGACCTGGCCAGGGGATTCAATCGGTAGTGCCATGGTACCACGAAGCCGGATTCTGATCATCGATATCGCGGTCGATCAGTCTACAAGAGTAGGAGTAGGGAAACAACCAGACTACCTGGTGAGAGGTGGTGCCGAAAGATACAGTATCAATACCACGGCCCGTCAGTCGATCCGTCTACGAAAGTATGGGAAAGGAAACAAGCTTCACGGTCTTCACGACCTTTACCTCGCCGTGTCGAGTCAAACCGTCAGAGTCAGTGGAAATTCCTCGCTTTACGACACTCTTTGCGTCTATCATGGCTCGATTGATGCTCCAGGCTCTATATTATCGGTCTGTCTGTCTGTCTATCCCCTCCCTCCGCTTTCGTTTTTGCTTTCTCAGACCTCTAACATGGCTTCTCGAACAGAAACGTGCCATCTTTCGCAGGGCAGCGAAGCGATGGACTCTATCCCCCCTGCCACGATCGATGCGAAGCCCGTCGTCTCATTCATTCCAGACCTGGCCAGTGGATTGGCAGTGCAGTGCCGTTTCCCCGATGCCCTTGCACTGCACCTCGTCCGTCACGTCGGCGTGGATCGCCATCACCGCCCCGTGGTGGCCCTCAGCCTCGATCATCGCGACCGTGCGCTGCGTCGGTGCGATGTCCCGGTCCCCGCAGATGACCTTGTACCCGTCGTCCGCGAGGAGGGGTACCGAGGAAGCTGATTCTGATTGTCGAGATCGCAGCTAAGCTGCCAGTCTACAAGAGTTGGGAAACAAAGCTACCCTCACAATCTTCACATCACATTGCGCTCCGATTCGTGTGCTTATCGGCTCGCGTTTGACCTTCCTGGTCCGTCTACCCGTCTACCATTCCACGCCGCCTCACTTCAATTTTTCAGATACCTCACTTCCACTTTTCAGATGACTCACTTCCAATTTTCAGATACTTCACTCTGGCTTGTCCTGCTACGATCGATGCAAAGCGCTTCGTCTTCTTCAGTCCAGACCTCGCCAGTGGATTACCAGTATTGTTCGTACCGAACAGGCTGGCTCTGGATGTCGATATCGTGGCTGATCGGTCAGTCTACAAGAGTCAGAGCGAGAGCAAGAGTCAGGGAACAAAGCCACAATCACGATCATCACATCATATTGCGATGAGATTCGTGTGTTTACCGGCTCACATTCGATGTTCTACATCCGCCCGTCTGTATACTTTTCCACACCCCTTTACTTTCACTTTAGCAGATGCTTCTAACACACCTTCCCTCACAGAAAGCGAAACGAATGACGGCATCCCATTCTGTCCTGCCTCGATCGAAGTACGTCGTCTCCTACCATTCACGCAGACCTGGGAATCTGCAGTGCGGCAGTTACGAAAAGACTATAATGCCGTGGCCAGTCAGTCTGCAAGAGTAAGAGAAGGAAGGGAAACAAAGCCACAAACTCGATGTCACAGCTGTGAGTCTCTCTGTGTCCATACCGATGGCCTGTTTCACATCCCATATCCCATGCCCGTCCATCGGTATGTTTATCTGTCTGCCTCTCTACACCCCTCTGCTTTCTCTCTCGAAGGTATTTACAACGTGGCTCCGCTGACAGAGTCCTCTTATAGAAAATCTACGCAACTGACCGTCATTCCTCGCCTGCCACGATCGAAGTACATTGTCTTCTTCCAGCCACTCGGACCTGGGAATTGATAGTGTAGTGATATCGAAAGACTGATTTATTGTCGATGTCGCGGGCATCAGTCTACGGTAGCAGAGCCAGAGCAGGAGAAGGTAAGCAAACATTCATGATCTTCGTGTCACAATTGCGAGGCTCTCTATGTCCATATCGATGGCGCATTTCGTGTTCATATCCTATATCCCATGTCCGTCCCGCCGTCCGCCGATCTATCTACCTTTCCTACCCTCTCTACTTTCATATTCGCAACTATTCTAATGTGGCTTCTCCAACAGAAAGCGAAGAAATTGACCCAGTCCCATCCTGTCCTGTCCGATCGAAGCACATGGTCTACTTTCCTGGACGAAGCCCATGCAATGGATGGTTGTCCTGGCGGTGTTGTCCTTGGTGGTGGGCATTCTATCTTTCCTGTTTAACGAGAAAGTGCGGAGTTAGATAGTCCAGAAGACAGAACGGCCTCGGACGAGCCAGAATCCTCCCGTGGACAGACCTCCCCCAACCCATCCACACTCTGCGCAGTGGGCACGCGCGGTGGTACCAAAAGAATGATTGACTGTCAATGTCGCGGTCAATCAGTCACAAGAGCAGCAGGAGGAGCAGCAGCAGCAGCAGCAGCAGGGGAAGTAAACAAACATTGACGATCTTCATACCACAATTGCGAGGCTGTCTGCATTCATACCGATTCCATGTCTCGCATTCCATGTTCTGCATTCCATGTTCTGCATTCCATGTTCTGCATTCCATGTTCTGCATTCCATGTTCTGCATTCCATGTTCTGCATTCCATGTTCTGCATTCCATGTTCTGCATTCCATGTTCTGCATTCCATGTTCTGCATTCCATGTCTATCTGTCTGTCCGCTTGTCTGTCAGTTTGCCTCCCCACCCCTACTCTTCCCTCGCAGAAAGAGCTGACATCGCTTTCTACAGAAAGCGAAATGACTGACCCTG